GTTCTTCGCGCAGGACCGTTCGGAAGCGCTCCAGGAAGACCAGGGGCTTGGTGTGGTATAAATCCCGTAAAATGTCCAATTTCTGGGCTGGTGTAAAATCTGGTTCATCCTTCTGCTGGCTCCGGACTGCCAAGCGGCTGTTGGCCACAGCATGGAACATGGCAAGCAGAGCGGAGTCTTCCTCCTCCATGGGACTGTCGGTCACCCTGTTTGAACGCAGGGACTTAAAATTTCCATTACTGTAATATGACTTTGTGTTGCTGGAGGTCTCCTCTCCCCTGGGGGTGCCACTTTCAGCATCCAAGTCCTCCAGTTTTTCAGTGCCTTGGTTACGATCCTCGGCAGCCTTGCTCCCATTATTCGTGGCTGGGTTTTCTGTCTTTAATTCGGCCCAGCAGAGGCAGGGAGGGGGCCTCTCTCTGGAGCCGTGTTTGCCCACAGACATATATTGGCCTGGATTCCAAGATTCTCCTTCCCTGCGAGAAGGCGATTCAGATGTTCCTTTCCTGCTCAGGGAATAATTGTGTGAATTTGGGACTCCTGACATTTGTTCTCCCCAATGTGTCCGACTCAGAGGGGAACTGCCAACGGTTCTAAAGCTGCACACATCTGAGGCTGCAAGCTTCTGATCATCACCGGGAGACGCTTGGAAAGACCTATCAGAATCTCTGTTGCTCTGCAAAGGGCAACCGTTGCTTGCTGGAATTTCCATCCTGTGATTTCTAGCCTCGGTTTTGTCTGGAAAATTGCTCTCTGTCCTGTGGCAAACTTTCCCCCCCTTTTTTTCTTCTTAGAGAATTAACACCTGGAAAGAGAAAATATTTTTTTGTTAGCATCAATTCAAACAGATCTCAAATGTCCCCAAGAGAAGGAATCACATCTACTGTACTAGGACAACCTGTGGCTCAGAAATAAATACAAAAATAAGCTTGTATGACACTGTGGCCTGAGCCCAAAGAGGTGTTCTGTGAAGTAAATGATAGAGAAGACAAATTCAAAATTATTTCAATGGCTACGAATTTTGGAAGGAAGACCCAAGATGCTGCTGCTGCTGCTATCTTAACTATGGAGACTTTAATGGCATTAAAAAAGACAGAATAACTATCCAGTGGGTTTGAAGGGGGGCAGGGGGAAGAACAGGGCTCCCACTTCCCCACTGATACTGATGGGGGCCACAAGGCCACTCCACGACCCCTTAAGAAGCTCTGGATCCCATCAAAGCAGCATTTTAAAATATTCAGATTTAAGGACACCCCCCTCCCCCACCCAGCTGAACAAAACCTCTAATGCGGCTCTCCAAGATCCTCGCTCTACATTGACCTGACAGACTGGAGGGGACTGGAGGCTAAAATATATAAAGAATGGTTGCTGGAATTGGGTATGTCTAGTTTAACGAAGAGAAGGATGAGGGGGGAGAGGATAGCAGAGTTCCAATATCTCAGGGGCTGCCACAAAGAAGAGGGAGTCAAGCTATTCTCCAAAGCCCCTGAGGGCAGGACAAGAAGCAACGGGATGGAAACTAATCAAGGAGAGAAGCAACCTAGAACTAAGGAGAAATTTCCTGACAGTGAGAACAATTAACCAGTGGAACAACCTGCCTCCAGAAGCGGTGAATGCTCCAACACTGGAAGTTTTCAAGAAGAGACTGGACAGCCATTTGTCTGAAATGGTGTAGGGTTTTCCTGCCTGAGCATGGGGTTGGACTAGATGACCTCCAAAGTCCCTTCCAACTTTATTATTATTATTATAACCAAGAGAGAAGCAACCTAGAACTAAGGAGAAACCTCCTGACAGTTAGAACAATTAACCAGTGGAACAACTTGCCTCCAGAAGTTGTGGATGCTCCAACACTGGAAGTTTTTAATGCAACCATATAAACATATGAAAAATAATTGGCAGGAATTGGGGATGTCTAGTTTAATGAAAAGAAGGACTAGGGGGTCACACAATAGCAGTGTTCCAGTATCTCAGGGGCTGCCCCAAAGAAGAGGGAGTCAAGCTATTTCCCAAAGCGCCTGAAGGCAGGACAAGAAGCAACGGGTGGAAACTAACCAAGGAGAGAAGCAACCTAGAACTAAGGAGAAACTTCCTGACAGTGAGAACAATTAACCAGTGGAACGACCTGCCTCCAGAAGTTGTGGCTGCTCCATCATTGCAGATTTTAAAGAAGAGACTGGAGAACCATTAGACTGAGATGGTATAAGGGCTCCTGCTTTGGGTAGGGGCTGGACTAGAAGACCTCCAAGCTCCCTTCCGTTATTCAGGAGCAGGGAGGACCTGAAGGGGAGCAGGTCGGGGTCGTTCCCGAAGGAAGGGGCGCCTTTCCAGGGCAACCATCCCGCCACCCCCGCCACGTCGCCAAAGCAGGAGGGGGAAGGCCAGGAGGGAAGCTCACCGCTGGAAACGGCTCCCCGGGCGCCTCCCGCTCCTTCTGGGTCGACCCTCTTGGCGGGGGAACGTAAATCAAGACGAACGGGCTCTCTCCGAGCGACTTCCGGTTCCTGGGCGGGGCCGCCGGAATGGCGCTCCGGGTGGGAACCTTGGCTGCGGAACCTTTGGTTCCGGGAGAATTCCAACTGGACGCCTCCATTGAGATTCTTAGGCGTCTCTTTGAAGACGTTTCGCTTCTCATCCAGGAAGCTTCTTCGGTTCTGTCTCCATCTCAGCACCGAAGAAGCTTCTTGGATGAGAAGCGAAAGGTCTTCCAGGAAAAACAAACTTTGGGAAAAGCCCCTTTGAGATTCTTAACTGGACCACTGAAGAGGCAGAAATAGCAAATGTGGGAGAAGGGAAAGAAGGCCAGGCTTTTTAAGGGGGGGGGGGAAGAATAATCACAATGGTAGCTGTAGGAGGGCATTACTGATCCATTTTTTTTTTATTTGACAACCTGGGTAAAATAGGAAATCAGCTCCCTGGGTCCTGATCAATATATCCCGCCTTACAGGGTTAGTGTTGTGAAGAAATTAGGAGACAAGGAGTATTAGGTTATGGTTCACTCCTTCCCCCCAAAAAATCCCTAAATCCAGCAGTCAGGAGAAATTCAACAAAGCGAGGAAAAGCAGAAAGGACGGATAATGTTGGTGCTCGTGATGTGGTGATGTGGCTGATTCAAGGCCAAAAGGACATCCAGCTGCTGAAGTGTGCAGAGGCCGAAAGCTAAGTTTGAACTTGTAAAAAGGCATCTAGAGCAGGGGTGTTCAACCTTGACGCCTTTAAGACACATGTACAAAGGTGCGTTTCCAAAAGGCAATTGGCTTTTCTTGGGTGTTTTTTTCTTTGAAAACATTTTGCTTCTCATCCAAGAAGCTTCTTCAGTTCTGAGACGGAGACAGAACTGAAGAAGTTTCTTCGATGAGAGGTGAAACGTTTTCAAAGGAAAAAACAAACAAACCAAGGGCCAGTTGCCTTTTGGAAAAGCATCTTTGGGGGGGCCACCATGCCCTGGGTGATTTGAGAATCAACTCCCAGAATTCCCCACCCAGCCATGCTTTTTTCCCGTTCCTTCTTTGGAAGGGCAGATACTAAAGCTGGAGCTTGACTACTCTGGACACCTAAGGAGAAGAGAAGACTCATTGGAAAAGACCCCAATGTGGGGAAAAGATTGACGGTAAAGGGGATGGTAAAAGATGTGATGGTTAGATAGTGTTACTGACACAATGAACATGAATTTGGGCGAACTCTGGAAGACAATAGTAGTAACTGCGAGAGGCACCTTGGAGTCCTAGTGGACAATCACTTAAATATGAGCCATCCGTGTGCTGCAGCTGCCAAAAAAGCCAACACAGTGCTGGGCTGCATTAACAGAGGGATAGAATCAAGATCACGTGAAGTATTAATACCACTTTACAATGCCTTAGTAAGGCCACACTTGGAATACTGCATCCAGTTTTGGTCACTACGATGTAAAAAAGATGCTGAGACTCTAGAAAAAGTACAGAGAAGAGCAACAAAGATGATCAGGGGACTGGAGGCTAAAGCATATAAGGAACGGTTGCTGGAATTGGGGATTTGATTTGATTTGATTTTGATTTTATTAAATTTATACCCCGCCCTTCTCCCAGAGGACTCAGGGCGGCTTACAGCCAGTTTAAAACAATGATATAATACAATACAAAATTTAAAAAGATTAAAAATAACTATTTAAATTTGGCCGTTTCTACTAAAAATTTAATTTAAAACCCCTTTAAAATACCCCTAGGCCAGTCCTGCCTGCCTAGTTTAATGAAGAGAAGGGCGAGGGGGGACATGATAGCAGTGTTCCAATATCTCAGGGGCTGCCCCAAAGAAGAGGGAGTCAAGCTGTTCTCCAAGGCCCCTGAAGGCAGGACGAGAAGCAACGGTTGGAAACTAAGCAAGGAGAGAAGCAACCTAGAACTAAGGAGAAACTTCCTGACAGTTAGAACAATTAACCAGTGGAACAACCTGCCTCCAGAAGTGGTGAATGCTCCAACACTGGAAGTTTTTAAGAAGAGACTGGACAGCCATTTGTCCGAAATGGTATAGGGTTTCCTGCCTGAGCAGGGGGTTGGACTAGATGACC